AGTACATCATACATATTTCTGTCAGGTAAAGCCCTCCTACCTGAACCAGCTTATCATGCAGGCATAGACCTCAGTACATCATACATATTTCTGTCAGGTAAAGCCCTCCTACCTCAACCAGCTTATCATGCAGGCATAGACCTCAGTACATCATACATATTTCTGCATCCGAGAATACGATACCCTCTTCCTCTTCTGACGCCGGATCACAGATAATAGAGTGAGGTGGAGTCCTAGATCTATATGAGGATCGACGCAGAAGAATGTGGTGAACCGGACTGACGAAAGGGCTTGTATAGGGAGACCTTTGTGGAGACTTCCTTGGCAAACGCTGGTGGCTTCCAGTGAAGCTCTGGTGAATCCTTTATAGATCTTCTGGATGAAGATGACTTGAGCCACTTAACCTTCGTGAAGGCCTTCGTGAAGGTATCGAGTCTGAGTCAGAGTCTGAATCATTAGATAGGAGCTTGCTTGTGAGATCCACCCCCTGTGTTCTTCAGGGTCTGAGCTTGGTGAAGCACTCCTCCTCCCGGAAGCCTTCGCAACTGGTGAGGATCTAGGTCCGTGGGAGGCGACTGGGACGCCCTTCGCGAAGGCTTCGACACGGGCTGGGTTGCCCTTCGTGGAGGCGCGTCTGTGGGCTCTGGGGCCCTACGTGAAGTCAAGCAAACGGGCTCTGGGGCCCTACAAGACTGTAAGTGGGGTGGGCTCTGGGCCCCGCGGCTCTGAGGTCTCTGTAAACCGTATCGATCTTCCATCAGCATCATAATCTGTTGACCAGGTCGTCTGGGACGGTTCATGCTGATGTAGACGCTGCCCTCTCTATGGTAGCCACGGGACCCTCAGGTAGATTCTCTGCCGCCAGTGTAGGCTTCTCTAGCTGCGCGTGTTGATATCGCGCTGAGGGTGACGGTGGCGATACTGGTCAGCTTCTTATGCCGCACATCTGGAATGATGATCGGTAGATCGCCATCATATAAGCCTAATTCTGAAACAGGAAGAATGTCAGATGAAAATTTTAGTAGTCTTCGTAGGGTTTCACATTCGACAAAGATGTAGCCCTGGGGGTGCGCGGAGCGACGCCAGACGACGTGCGTGGAAGCTCTCCTGGTCTTAGACTGGGACGACGGGATGTCCTGGGATGCAGGTGGCTTCTTGAGATAGCGGACTGCGTCCCACGCTTCTGCCCCGAGGGTAACTCAAGCGGAACACCAGATGGTAGGGGGTCGTCCGCCAACAGTTGACAGGGTATATCAGACTCTGATCTATTAGCCATGACTGAAGTCTGTTTCCGTGATCTATCTGCTGCGAGTCTCAAGACGCAAAATAAATATTTATCAAAGGCAGAATTTGATAATTTAATACAATAATTGCAACGTCAAACAGTAGAGCATGGCAGTAGTACAACTAGGGCATATTAAATGCGGATCAGCAGCAGAGAAACGTGAATTTACAAACAGTGCAGATTTTCATTAACGCACTCCAGAGAGCAAAACACGGGCGAACCGTGGAATAAACAGTAGAAACACGAATAAATATCAATGTATCATGTAGAAGGATACTAGTTACATCTCTATAGATGATTATAAGAGGTAAACAACTAAATATAAATAAAGGACATAATGTGTAGGGAGACACAGGCGCTCTCAGGTCCTGCTCACTGGCTGAAGAACGAGAGAGTAAGGCACATGGCAGGAGGTGGCGCCCTCGTTCCCGCGCTTTTGAGGGGACAGATAACTCGTGGTGAGTACTAATTAGTGATTTTACATTGAAGGGAACTTCAATTGGGAGATACAAGTGTTCCACTGTGTTCGCAAGAAGAAGAAGACAAGCAAGTAGCATGAGTCAGGATAAGGAAAAATAATATTTTTAAGTATTTTTAATACCTGATCAAATGATCAAAGTTAGAATAAAAGTACTCTTAAAGACATGTGCAAATGAATGTTTTCAAAATGATACAAAGATTTTCAACGTGCCATAACTCACATAATACCAACACTCATGAGCTTCTGGAATTTCCACTGAGCATTGTCCTCAAAATGCTTTCCAGGAAATTCTTTTCAACATCAACAGATATTACTCATTTATTTAACCCCAGAGAGAGGATTTCCATAAACCCTTAAGCACAGCCTGCCTCTGCCTGTCATTGAATACATACTTCTGTAAGATGAAGCTATCCTACATGAACCAGCTTCTCATGCAGGCGTAGACCTCAGTACATCATACATATTTCTGTCAGGTAAAGCCCTCCTACCTGAACCAGCTTATCATGCAGGCGTAGACCTCAGTACATCATACATATTTCTGTCAGGTAAAGCCCTCCTACCTGAACCAGCTTATCATGCAGGCATAGACCTCAGTACATCATACATATTTCTGTCAGGTAAAGCCCTCCTACCTGAACCAGCTTATCATGCAGGCGTAGACCTCAGTACATCATACATATTTCTGTCAGGTAAAGCCCTCCTACCTCAACCAGCTTATCATGCAGGCATAGACCTCAGTACATCATACATATTTCTGTCAGGTAAAGCCCTGCTACCTCAACCAGCTTATCATGCAGGCATAGACCTCAGTACATCATACATATTTCTGTCAGGTAAAGCCCTCCTACCTGAACCAGCTTATCATGCAGGCATAGACCTCAGTACATCATACATATTTCTGTCAGGTAAAGCCCTCCTACCTGAACCAGCTTCTCATGCAGGCATAGACCTCAGTACGTCATACATATTTCTGTCAGGTAAAGCCCTCCTACCTGAACCAGCTTATCATGCAGGCATAGACCTCAGTACATCATACATATTTCTGTCAGGTAAAGCCCTCCTACCTGAACCAGCTTATCATGCAGGGCGTAGACCTCAGTACATCATACATATTTCTGTCAGGTAAAGCCCTCCTACCTGAACCAGCTTCTCATGCAGGCATAGACCTCAGTACATCATACATATTTCTGTCAGGTAAAGCCCTCCTACCTGAACCAGCTTATCATGCAGGCATAGACCTCAGTACGTCATACATATTTCTGTCAGGTAAAGCCCTCCTACCTCAACCAGCTTATCATGCAGGCATAGACCTCAGTACATCATACATATTTCTGTCAGGTAAAGCCCTCCTACCTGAACCAGCTTCTCATGCAGGGCGTAGACCTCAGTACATCATACATATTTCTGTCAGGTAAAGCCCTCCAACCTCAACCAGCTTATCATGCAGGCATAGACCTCAGTACATCATACATATTTCTGTCAGGTAAAGCCCTCCTACCTGAACCAGCTTCTCATGCAGGGCGTAGACCTCAGTACATCATACATATTTCTGTCAGGTAAAGCCCTCCTACCTGAACCAGCTTATCATGCAGGCATAGACCTCAGTACATCATACATATTTCTGTCAGGTAAAGCCCTCCTACCTGAACCAGCTTATCATGCGTAGACCTCAGTACATCATACATATTTCTGTCAGGTAAAGCCCTCCCTACCTCAACCAGCTTATCATGCAGGCATAGAGCCTCAGTACATCATACATATTTCTGTCAGGTAAAGCCCTGCTACCTCAACCAGCTTATCATGCAGGCATAGACCTCAGTACATCATACATATTTCTGTCAGGTAAAGCCCTCCTACCTGAACCAGCTTATCATGCAGGCATAGACCTCAAGTACATCATACATATTTCTGTCAGGTAAAGCCCCTCCTACCTGAACCAGCTTCTCATGCAGGCATAGACCTCAGTGCGTCATACATATTTCTGTCAGGTAAAGCCCTCCTACCTGAACCAGCTTATCATGCAGGCATAGACCTCAGTACATCATACATATTTCTGTCAGGTAAAGCCCTCCTACCTGAACCAGCTTATCATGCAGGGCGTAGACCTCAGTACATCATACATATTTCTGTCAGGTAAAGCCCTCCTACCTGAACCAGCTTCTCATGCAGGCATAGACCTCAGTACATCATACATATTTCTGTCAGGTAAAGCCCTCCTACCTGAACCAGCTTATCATGCAGGCATAGACCTCAGTACGTCATACATATTTCTGTCAGGTAAAGCCCTCCTACCTCAACCAGCTTATCATGCAGGCATAGACCTCAGTACATCATACATATTTCTGTCAGGTAAAGCCCTCCTACCTGAACCAGCTTCTCATGCAGGGCGTAGACCTCAGTACATCATACATATTTCTGTCAGGTAAAGCCCTCCAACCTCAACCAGCTTATCATGCAGGCATAGACCTCAGTACATCATACATATTTCTGTCAGGTAAAGCCCTCCTACCTGAACCAGCTTCTCATGCAGGGCGTAGACCTCAGTACATCATACATATTTCTGTCAGGTAAAGCCCTGCTACCTGAACCAGCTTCTCATGCAGGCGTAGACCTCAGTACATCATACATATTTCTGTCAGGTAAAGCCCTCCTACCTGAACCAGCTTATCATGCAGGCATAGACCTCAGTACATCATACATATTTCTGTCAGGTAAAGCCCTCCTACCTGAACCAGCTTATCATGCAGGGCGTAGACCTCGGTACATCATACATATTTCTGTCAGGTAAAGCCCTCCTACCTGAACCAGCTTCTCATGCAGGGCGTAGACCTCAGTACATCATACATATTTCTGTCAGGTAAAGCCCTCCTACCTGAACCAGCTTCTCATGCAGGGCGTAGACCTCAGTACATCATACATATTTCTGTCAGGTAAAGCCCTCCTACCTGAACCAGCTTATCATGAAGGCATAGACCTCAGTACATCATACATATTTCTGTCAGGTAAAGCCCTCCTACCTGAACCAGCTTATCATGCAGGCATAGGCCTCAGTACATCATACATATTTCTGTCAGGTAAAGCCCTCCTACCTGAACCAGCTTCTCATGCAGGCATAGACCTCAGTACATCATACATATTTCTGTCAGGTAAAGCCCTCCTACCTGAACCAGCTTCTCATGCAGGGCGTAGACCTCAGTACATCATACATATTACTGTCAGGTAAAGCCCTCCTACCTGAACCAGCTTCTCATGCAGGGGGTTAGAAGTCATCCAGACTCCGAGATACCACCCAGCCTTGTGAGCTGTTCTGCAGCTCCTGGGCCCCTGGCAGTGACCCCCGTAGGTAGATGACGAGGATGAATGACGGAGCCAGGCGATCTGTACCTGACTGAGATGCCTGAGAAAGAGGGAGCGAAAGTGGAAGTAGCTTCACAACGCATTCAGCAATATCACAGCTAGACCGTACAATAGTTTAGTGCCACATGCAGCAATATTCCAGCTAGTAAATAGTGTCTTGTAAATATTCGAGTCGGGTACAGAAAAAACAGGTATATGTACTACTTTGGTACCATGTTACATGATCGACCAAGTCACAGATTGATTTGGACACCTCTTGTTGGCATTGGTTGCTTGGAACCTATTCTAACCTATTCTAAACCCACAATGCAAATAAACTGAGTCTTGGCCAGGTGGCTGATATGTCAGAAATGAGGTGATATTATGAAGGATATGTATTCACATAATATCCATGTTAGTCTTCAAATATTTTCCTATAAATATTAACGTAAATATCTGAGGACATCCCATTTGACATCACATCAGAATGACATTTCATGAATGTTGACAGACACCTGAAATGATAAACAAGAAGTTTACTCTAGCCAGTCGGAAAGAAGCTTTCATGAGTTTCATGGCTCTAGTTTCATGACTCATGACAGAACTAAAGAAACCTATGGATAGTATAACAGTAATTCCCATGGAAGTAACTGTCAATGAATACATTGTGTTAACCTTTTCACATACTGACTGTCACTTTATCAATCAAGTCAGCGACACTCTGATTGATTAATGACATGTTGTTCTGAAGCAACCTGTAATGGCATGTCCAAAGATTCTTTAGTTGTTGCACTAAGATCTAATGATACTGACATCAAGACCTGATTAAAGGACAAAAGATACTCACTGTCAGTTACAAACAACAAATTAAAGCAATACATGGGTGGCGTACCTCAGCGTCGTGGACCTGTGCCATCCAGGTTCCCTGGTGGTTGATCCACAGCTCTGTGCGGGAGATGTGAGCCTCCAGCTTGCGTTTCTCCTCCTGGATCTTCACGATCTCCTGGTCCATTTCATCCTCCACCTTCTTCGTCTGGAACATACAGGTCATGATTGTGGTGGCGCGTGGTCCTGTGCTTAAAGCTCAGGTCACAAAACGGTGAAGTTAAGCAGCGTCGAGCTCGGAGAGATCTTGGATGGGTGACCGTGTTTGGCAGCTTGACTCCTGAGAGTTTCTAGGACTTGAGTCCTGCCCCACAACGAAGCACATGTGATACATGTGGTCTCACCTTAGGCAAGTGAGTTTGTTCAAAATTGCCTCTGTTCACCCAGCAGGAAAATGGGTACCCGGTGGAAAAAAGTCATATGACTATAACCTTCTAGCGCCTAACAGGCAGCTTGGGTTATCCAGGGTAATAATGGCCTTGATTGTTAGCACTATGAGCATACCTAGTGTGGAGTTTGGCGCTATATAAATGGACACATTATTATTATTATTATGATCACACAGTCATCGGAGAGGATATCTAATAACTACACTGTATGACCACTTGATCACACAGTCAACGGAGAGGATGTCTAATAACTACACTGTATGACCACTTTATCACACAGTCATCGGAGAGGATGTCTAATAACTACACTGTATGACCACTTGATCACACAGTCATCGGAGAGGATGTCTAATAACTACACTGTATGACCACTTGATCACACAGTCATCGGAGAGGATGTTATCACTGTATGACCACATGACACACACATCGGAGAGGATGTCTAATAACTACACTGTATGACCACTTGATCACACAGTCATCGGAGAGGATGTCTAATAACTACACTGTATGACCACATGATCACACAGTCATCGGAGAGGATGTCTAATAACTACACTGTATGACCACTTGATCACACAGACATCGGAGAGGATGTCTAATAACTACACTGTATGACCACTTGATCACACAGACATCGGAGAGGATGTCTAATAACTACACTGTATGACCACTTGATCACACAGTCATCGGAGAGGATGTCTAATAACTACACTGTATGACCACTTGATCACACAGACATCGGAGAGGATGTCTCATAACTACACTGTATGACCACATGATCACACAGACATCGGAGAGGATGTCTCAATAACTACACTGTATGACCACATGATCACACAGTCATCGGAGAGGATGTCTAATAACTACACTGTATGACCACTTGATCACACAGTCATCGGAGAGGATGTCTAATAACTACACTGTATGACCACTTGATCACACAGTCATCGGAGAGGATATCTAATAACTACACTGTATGACCACTTGATCACACAGACATCAGAGAGGATGTCTAATAACTACACTGTATGACCACTTGACCAATCACTTGTCATTGCTGTGTATATTGAACTGTGGCAGATAACACAGTTATTCAATTAAGAAATTGGGCGAAGGTGTAGTTGCACCAGCAGCATATGTTTGTCTCACTGTCAAGGATCATCATACCAAAAATGATTTATAGACCATATGTTTCATGTTCTGACAGTTCTTGATATTGAAGAACATGTGTTTTATATGGCTTCTGAGAGCTCTGGAGAGCCTGGACACTGAATCTTTTATTGGCCAGTGCTTATTTCACACTGGTATTCTGAAAGCTCTTGATCACCTGCAGAGCCTGTGTTTTATTGACCAATACTCACTTTCTCATCAGGCTTCTGGGAACTCTTGATCGCCTGCAGAGCCTGTGTTTTATTGGCCAGTTTTTCATCCAACTGCTGCATCTTCTGCTGAGCATGGTAAGATTCATCAGCAAACATGGCGGGACCTTCACTAGGATCGATGTCATCCTTCGACTCCAGAAACAGCTCATCTGGCACAAACCAGTATTGAAAGTCAGGTTCACTATGGCACCTATCCAATGTTTAATCAGACCTTTATAATAGCAAACCATATTCCTCCTCACCATAGTCAGACATATCCCAACTGTATGACTGTATCCTGTAACAGATCAGGTCTGAACCAGGCAAACCAGTGACTGACTGCATGAGCAACAGTGGGTATAATGATGGCCAGGTAACTCACTGTACATGGACCCGTGAAGATTCAGGTTAGAATTGATCTTCAGTAGCCCATGCTTGTCGTAAGAGGCGACTAATGGGATCATGTGGTCAGGCTCGCTGACTGGGTTGACACATGTCATCGTATCCCAATTGCGTAGATTGATGTTCATGCTGTTGATCCCTGGATTGTCTGGTCCAGACTCGATTATTTACAGACCGCCGCCATATAGCTGGAATATTGCTGAGTGCGGCATAAAACTAAACTCACTCACTCACTGTACATGGCCAGGTCAGTTATTGCCATTAGTTAGTTCTGACCAGCATTAGAAGGTGAGTACTGATTCTGCCCTAGAATTTTAATCACAGAAATAAATATATTACTGGAAAGAGGTGCAGGGTGGAGGTGTCAGAGGGCTCATGGGGATAAGAGGAAGGGGCTCACCAAATATAGTCAATATCAGACTTTTTCAGTACATAATGTAAAAATGTTCAAGTAACACAATGAAGTGGATGTTCACATAATCAACCTGAATGTGGATAGTTGTCATTATATAATGTTACAAATCTATTTCAATCTGTTTTCATACTTCTGGAATATTGTTGATATGTGTCTAAAACACTACACCAGGAAGATGTACCATCTCTAATGATCTAGTGTAACCATTAGTGGTCTTAATTAATTGAAATTATCGAGAAGATTGAAGTGACCAAAGCGACCAAACAATCGGTGATCATTCACATAATCATTTTTACCTCATTTTTAGATGATATTTGACAATTGCTCAGTTGTATGAAAATGTTAACTGAAAAGCCATGACTGAATATTTTTGAAGACTCAGTTTATGTTCTGATATATAAGTCATCACTTTAAAGTAGCAAGTTGCATCATGTTATCTAACCTGTAATACTACCTGGATAGGAGAATCTGAAAAATATACCATCACAGGTATCCTAATGATCTAGTGTAACCATCCATACACAAGGCTGACCTTTGGAGGACATAGCGAGTGGATCGAGGTTGTCCTCCTCCTCCAGCGAGGAGATACATTGGTGGTAGATGTCAGCTGACGATGAAGGAGGGGTAGTACTTCTCCTCCATGATACCATACAGCTGCTTCTGCGCTTCGTAGAATGACTCCGGACCCTGTAGAGTGGTGACACAAACAGTGAGTGAGTGAGTGAGTGAGTGAGTGAGTGAGTGAGTGAGTGAGTGAGTGAGTGAGTGAGTGAGTGAGTGAGTGAGTGAGTGAGTGAGTGAGTGAGTGAGTGAGTGAGTGAGTGAGTGAGTGAGTGAGTGAGTGAGAGTGAATAAGTGAGTTGGGTTTAATGCTACTTTCGATTAGGGACCTTTCATAATGTATGGCAGGGGGTGACGATGATTTTAAGGGTTGGGTTTGTGGTGTCGGTGTGATGGGTGTGGGTGTGGGGGTGTGGGGCTTTTGGCACCCATTTTGTTCTTGGAGGTAGGGTCATCAATTTTGTACACATGTATTAGGGGCAGGGCGGGGATAAGCAATTCTGTACATACGTCATTTTTAAAAATCATGCTTAAAAATTATGACGTGGGGGGGCATTGATTTTGTACATGACTTGCAGGAGGGGGCACTTACTCTGTACATAAATTTTAGAGGGAGTTAGTGGTGTTCCGTTTAATTGAATTAATTGAAGATTGGTCAGTGTGACCAAACGACCAAGCAATCGATCACATTTTTTCATAATCGAACACAAACGATTTTGGAACTGCTGTTTTAGTCTTTGAAACACTAGACGATGGAACCCATCTTCGAAGTTGTCAGGGCCTGAAAACTTGTTTAATTCTTAGAAAACTCACTTCACTAACTGAAAAGTCATGACTGAATATTTCTTGAAGACTCCAGGAAGATTATGTTCATGATATATTATTCATCATTATACAATGGCAAGTTGCGTCATGTTATAGGTATCTGCAATAACAATCTGGATAGGAAAATCTGAAAAATGACGCAAACAATCTTTTTTCGATGATTGTTCGTTGGTAATGAAGCAATCATCAGTTGTGAGATTTCAACAAATACCCAACACTTAGAGGGGGTCATTCACATTGTACATGCTTCTCCATAAAAATCCCCCCCAATCCATAAATTAAGAACAGACTCTTACATATCAGATTTTCCATTACAGATAAAAGAGATATGTCTATGATATACGCTGCACATATGATGCATGCTGCAGCCTATATTTCCTCTGAAAACGTATTTCCGCTCCCTGAATGCACATACAGTTCATGACTACATGGACAGTGATTTCCTCACCTTGTCCCCAATCAGAAATATCTCCATGCCCTTGATGGTGGCCTTGTCCAGCTTGACTGCTGTAGAGCTACTGGACACATACTGCTGGTAGATCTCACTGGCCACATGGTGGCGCTTGTCCTGTAACACAAGATATGAGGCATTTTCTGTGTGTGATGGAGCCAACCAAGAGACTGAGGGCGTAAAAACCCTGCATCCTAATATAGCTTTTCAATGCATTTAGAATGGTGACAGTAGCCCTGATGCTAAGTAAATGGAGTTATGTCCCTTTGCATTGTCTGCTTGCCTCACTTTTCCTTGACAATGTGTTCAAAAAAAGGTGAAATGTTTATTCACTTTCACCATCAGTTGGCTTGAATAATGGGAAAGGTGTCCAAATACAACCTAATTGGATTCATGTAGAATCTGGATTGGAACATAGCATATTAATCACTTAAACATTGTTAAATGTCATGAACAATTTCTGTGCATTTTCCCTGTCACTGGACTTCAGAAGCTATATGTGTACTACTGTGAAGATCAATAATTACATATGGACATAATTCTCACCTTACTTGCCACTCGCAACTTCTCTACTGCATTCCAAAACCTGAAACATCATTTTAAGATTATAATAATGTTGGAATTCAAACAGTATCATTAAATCACAGAGTGAACTATTAGAAACTTAACTGTGAATCTGGTGAAAGGTATCATGATGATCTTGATTTTAAGCTGAAACTATCATATAACCAGAAACACCTACCCCAGCAGAGACAGCTTCCAGACAAACACCTACCCCAGCAGAGACAGCTTCCAGACAAACACCTACCCCAGCAGAGACAGCTTCCAGACAAACACCAATCCCTAATGTTGACAGCTTCTCACACCTACCCCTGAGTTGACAGCTTCCAGACAAACACCTACCCCAGCAGAGACAGCTTCCAGACAAACATCTACCCCTGAGTTGACAGCTTCCAGACAAACACCTACCCAAGCAGAGACAGCTTCCAGACAAACACCTACCCCAGCAGAGACAGCTTCCAGACAAACACCAATCCCTAATGTTGACAGCTTCTCACACCTACCCCTGAGTTGACAGCTTCCAGACAAACACCTACCCCAGCAGAGACAGCTTCCAGACAAACACCTACCCCAGCAGAGACAGCTTCCAGACAAACACCTACCCCAGCAGAGACAGCTTCCAGACAAACATCTACCCCTGAGTTGACAGCTTCCAGACAAACACCTACCCCAGCAGAGACAGCTTCCAGACAAACACCTACCCCAGCAGAGACAGCTTCCCAGACACAGCCAACACCTACCCCAGCAGAGACAGCTTCCAGACAAACACCTACCCCAGCAGACAGCTTCCAGACAAACACCTACCCCAGCTGGCTTCAGACAAACACCTACCCCAGCAGAGACAGCTTCCAGACAAACACCTCTGAGCTTCCTACCCCTGAGATGACAGCTTCCAGACAAACATCTACCCCTGAGTTGACAGCTTCCAGACAAACATCTACCCCAGCAGAGACAGTACTTCATAAAGTAGTCCTGAGGGCTTGACAGCTTCCAGACAAAACCTACCTACCCAAGCAGAGACTCCTGGCTCTCTTTCTTGAGGTACTTCATAAAGTAGTCCCGGGCTTGGGGCAGATCCATGATCACACTGAATGACAGCACCTTGTGAAGACAAATACACAAAGGGTCAAATGAATTTCATATGGAGGAGATCTCTGGGTGAGCAAGTTTAGAGTTTTTGTTCTCTAACTGGTCTCAATATATCTGCACTAACAAAATACTGCCTGAGAGACCCTGATATGTATATCCTGGGATATATGCTGAAGGTGAGTGCTGGGTTTAGCAGTTGTAACACTGCACCTTCTGTGCTTCCAAATTTAGACTGAAGAAATGAAATGTTTTCTGGACACTGCACTGATGCCTACTCTGCTGCCCTTGATATGTCCATCAAATAATCTGGCACTTGTAGTGGGTACAGTATAGTCACAAATACCACTACCTATTCAAAATATTTACAAAAACACACTAAATTAGAAACACTTGCAACATTAAAGAAGACCATTCCATTTGAAGAAAATGTCCAATATGTGTACCCATCAATAAGGAAATATCAGGTTTCATCATTACGATGACCAATGACTTGTAACAAGCATGATGACTGCAATTGGCCACTGACCTTCTGACCAGGGAGGGGGGAAGTAGCGAGACTCTCTCCTCCATTTCCCCCACTGTAGTACTTGTAGTCTGGCCCCCCCAAGGCCTGTATACGCTTCTCACATCGGGACTTGGCCACAGTCAGCTGTCAATATTTAAACTCACATGATAGATATGAATCTCAGAACTATCTTCAAATTATCATTATCATAAATGTATTGGATAAATTAACTGCAAAAGATCATGTAAGAATGTTAACAATGTGACAATATAATTGGTGGCAACCTGTAAATAAAAGATCAGACTCAAGATCAGTCCTTCTGGGTATGATTGACAGGCACAAAGACTGACAAACCATTCCATTTTAAATTTGTCTTACAACAAGCATAGGTTTCTGGGGACCGACTGAAGCATTCATCCATTAAACCAATGGCATAGGATTTGATTCCCCACATGGGTACAAAGTGGTAAACCCATTTCAAGTGTCACCTGTTGTCACAATGTTGTCACAATGTTGGCATCTTGCTATCAGCAGTATTATCAACCTACCTCACGTAAAACGGGTCATCTCAGACAGTCTTTACAAAATCGTATGTAATATGGTTAGACTATATTATCAGAGATGTGTATTGTAAATCCCCAGGACGTGAATTGTAAAGTGGGTTCCCAGCACTGATCATTTCTTAACCTAGGATATTATTCACGATTGATACAACTTTGTCTTGCCATCACTGATCGTAAATTATCACATTATTGAAAACTTCCAAGATACAGTAGCGATAACTAGTTTCCAACCTGCAACCCTTCGCTCTCTAACTTGGCGGTTTTATCCACTAGGCTACATAGGATCGCTGTGATGAATGAGATTGTTTGTCAGTATGAAACGTGTGTTCCTCACAAGACGGGTACTGCGGGCAGCGCACGTGCAGGACACAGGTAGCATGTGCATTGCGCGTGCAAGGCAAGATGTTGGCTGCCAGTCGCATCCCAGATGACACCGGCTGTTCCATCATTTGCGGGCTGTCCCATCAATGTTGTTCCGCTTGGAGCGTATTGATGTCGATCGTTATATATTATTTTTAAAGATATTTTACGCAAAAACGGTTGATAAGACGGAGAAACCACTCCTACTCGGGTTTACGAGAGATTGTGAACCCAGAGAGTCGGGAACATCCCTCCTCTCTGGGTTCACAATCTCTAGTAAACCCTCGTAGTCGTGGTTTCTCCTATACTTTAACCATACTACCTCACTGTACAAGTACGACATACCTGATTGATGTATCTCTTGAGGTTTCGGGCCTTCAGGAGCTCTCCTTTTGTTGTGCTTTTAGGGGAACTCTCTTTCTCTGTGAGGTAGAAGAGCTGAAATGAGCTTTACCACAAATCCTTCCCTTCCATTTTCTTCATAAGGATCACAAAGAAATACTACAAGACATCATTCCAATCCTTCTTTCCCAAACTGGTACTGATCGGTATAATATTTCATGGAAGACTTTCATAACCTCCCTCTTTACTGATACTTCACTGGATCATGAAACACACATATTGTCCTGCATGATACATGACTGACGTCCCAATGCAGTAATTAGATGTCTGACACTGCCTCTCTATTGTCATATGTAGTTGTGTGAATGAGTGAGTGAATTGGGTTTCACACCAAGAATATGACCGTCAGTCTTGAATCAGGCTAGAATATGACTTCAGTAAAGAACAAATTCTAGTACTTTTCTTAGGTTGAGGCCCATCCAGGATTTGAACCCACGCTCTCAGAGTCAGGCAACTAATTGCGCTGGCTGAGTGGGTTAGATGGCCAACTCTGTGTGCTGGCTATTACGTCGGGGTTCAAATCCTGGACTCAGCCTAACAAAAGTACTAGAATCTGTACTTTACTGAGAAAGTGTAATCCCAAATATAACATATGCTAAACTTTATAAAATGGCATTGTGTATTCATTGTTTCATAAAGATAATGAGAAGACAACTGTTTGATTTCATGTTTGCAAAATTTCCTGTTACAGCTCTTGAAAAGTGTATTTCTTTATCTGCTTAATATTTTTCAGCAAGTAATTGAGTAAATGTTGCTTATTTTACAGCTATTTGCTGGAAAAACAAATAATTTCCTTTGACATATGTTTCAGAGTAAATGGAAGATGTACAAAGATATACAAAGATGAATAATACAGTACATGCAAGCAGAATCTTTCATGGACACATAAATAACTACTGTAAGACAGAGGCCCAGATAAACTGCGTATCCGGGTAAAAAACGCATAGAAAATTTCCAATTACGCATTGAAAAATAATTCTTGCGTATCAATTACGCATTTAAAATGTTAGATACGCAAAAAGTTTAAAACAAATGCGTACGGAATATATTTATAAAAATCATCGATTGCTATCAAGTTGTACTGTTAGTATAGGACAAGTGTTGTACTGTCAGTATAGGATGAGTGATTTTTTATGAAATCATTTCCATTATATTTAAGTTGGTTTTGATTAGGTATGACATAAGGCAGAACATACCTGCTTAGTAAACTTACTCAATGACATAATACTTAGGTGAGTAAAATGACTGAAATACGCACATATTTGAAAGCAGTGGGTAACGGAAAATGAAATACCCACTCAACATTCATAATACCCACTCCAAAACAATACAGTGGGTACAGTACCCACATGAGCTAAATCTTATCTGGAGCTCTGGTAAGAGAACCAACCATACCCGACTATATAAACAGCTATACACTGAGCAGGTGACCCATCGCTATGAAGGTCATTAATACATCAGAAAAACACCATTATAGATTTAAACAGAGGTTAAAATTAATAAAAATAAAATATTTGTGTATCCAACAATCCGAAAGACGTTGTCGTACACTTGAGACCCTGAATTCGGATTACAGTTGTAACTAGTTGTCCTGAAGACATTCACAATATTTGTAGCATGGGTGTAGGACATTCCCTTTGATGTCAATCATACAATAAAACTATGTGTCAAGTCATGTTTGCATGAAACTTGAATTTTGACTGACCTGGGCTGTGGTTCACAAAGCTATTGACTACAACTGCCATACCTCCTATACTGGAACATAGACTTACAACAGTCGTAGCGCTACAATAGCTTTCTGAAATGGGTTCCTGCCAATCTTACAGGTCAGTTCTTGAATGAATTTACATTTGCACACATGGTTCAAGGTGTTATCATTTGGCTATGTGAACTCGCAACCCCAACTTGAAATATCTCATGACGCACACATATACATTCAACAACAAACAAAGGGACATGTTACTTTTGACACAAGTATTTCATCGTTTGGTTTTACAACATGAAGATCTGAAAAAGCATGTAAGGTTATTGTGCAAAGCAAAATATTAAGGCAACAATCAAAAAAATTCAGTTTCTTTGACTATACTGACACCAGCTTGAGACAATGAACATGATAAAAGCCATATCTCCTCAAGCAGGGGGGGTTCTGCAAAGCTATCTTAACACTAAGGTGATCATAACTAACTTTAACACAGTGAGTGAGTGAGGTTTTACGCCACTTTTAGCAATATTCCAGCAATATCACGACATGGGACACCAGAAATGGGCTTCAAACATTGTACCCATGTGGGGAATCGAATCCAGGTTTTTCGGCGTGATGAGCGAACGCTTTAACCACCAGGCTACCCCACCACGATCACAGCGCTAAGATTGCTTGGTGGAACATGACCCTGAGATGTTATAAAGGTTATAAAGACATGATAGAGACAACCACCATAGGACTGCATTATCTACTGCCATGTTAGATATGACTGCAAGCGTTTCTACCTCACTTACCATGCACCTTGGCTGCTAAAACAAGTAACAATGCATGCACAGTAACAACAATAGCAACCTGAAGTAACATCACAGCACACAAACAAGTAACGTAAGGATGCCATGCTATGTGTACCCTTTACCATTGTGCACAAGCCTAACTACATGTCTCTGTTTCTAGGAAATGTGAAACCAACAAGGCTTTCTCATATCTCTAAATTAATCAGACTGCCTTCATGATATTGTCTAAACAGCATGTGCCCAGGGGCACAGGGTCAAAAGTTCAATACTCAGACATGTCATAGCAAAACACTGTTAAAGATGGTACTTAATGTTACCAAGCCTGCCACTTAGCAGTATACAGTAAATGAAGTATGCAGGATTACCTCCCTTCATCTTCCAAGAGGTATCAGGTATCTGGCATAGTGACATATTTAACGCTTTACTTACTTTAGAAGAGTTTATGTTTAAATAAGGTTTGCACTCTATCAGTAAACAAAGATCCACAAATAAATCCTTACACACAAGCTGAAATGGATACATTTAGTAATTACAGTGTTGTTATAAAATTGTTTTTAAAAGTTTTCATCCTATTTGTACACAAACAATTCAACCAAATAGGTAACCAGTTATTTATTTTGTGTATTTTACGTGAATCAGCAGATTATCAGAAAGTCACTAACTTGGAAGCCAACCCATTTCTATCAATACACTTTCTTTCTATAAGTCTCTTATGTATGAAACATAATTGTCAACAACAATAAAATAATTTCAAGGTCGATGTAATCTAAATCACAATTATTTTCTCATTTCCATATATCTTCAGCCATCATACTTCTCGAACTGGACAATTTAACAAACAGGCGTGTCATTAAAGTCAAGGTAACATCTCTACAGGCCTGTCACTAGCATATATCTGTTTTTGATTGAACTGTCACACACAGCCTCTCCATTCCTCTGTACTGCTACAGTTACTGTGAGTTCTGTTTAGGACAGGTGCAGTGTAAATAAAATGACAGACACTGAATGAAATTGAATCAGCATGATAAACTACAAAACTTCTAATGTTGAAATAAAATTAATCAAAGGGGTAAGGAGGATATTGGTGCAAATATTTGTCAATGTGCTTCATGCAGTTTATGACAGTCATTAGATTGTAGTTTGTTGTGTGTAAAGTGTCGTACAGAAACACAGTGATATCAACAAACTGCTGCAAGTAATTTAAGTCGCCCTCCATTGTTTGTGACATCACAGAGAGTAATATATGACATTGTGAAAATAGATTGACTGAGTTTATAGCTCAGCCTGTTACTGGGATTAGAGGGCCATCAAAAGAGATTATAGAGATCAATATTACTTAACTAAACATCCATCGATTATAGATAAATTTTGAAGAAGTAACTACAAACAAAACTGAAAAATTATATTCGAAAGAATTCAACATATTTCACATCACTTTGAGTAGCAATACATCTTTGTGTGAAATACAAATGTACTAACAAAACAACATCCTCAACATAATTTAAAAGCAGCCCATGAATAAAGACGTAACTTTGTGAGTGAGTTGGGTTTTACGCCGCTTTTAGCAATATTCAGCAATATTACGGGGGGGACACCAGACATGGGCTTCACACACTGTACCCATGTGGGGAGTCGAACTCGGGCCTTAGGCGTGACGAGCGAATGCTTTAACCACTAGGCTACCCCTACCACAATGGTTTGGCTCACATACAAGTAACACTTTAGTAGAGGCAATATACATAATATTAAACACTGTTTAACAAATACTTTAAGATTTGCTGAGGATCATTTCTCAAACTTATTACATAAAATGTATGCATACCTACATTAGTGATGCATGTACATGTCTTTGGTAAATATTCTATGAAAATGCATCAAAAGTAGAACACACGAGATATATTCATCTTCTGTACCTCAATCACATAAAGAGGTTTCCTACATATACATTTTGTGTTCATTATATCTCAGCTATTACTTATTAAACCCACCTGTCTTGATTCCTTGAGCTTTCTTCAAATTGTTGATAGTAGTGGAATGCATTATCTCAGAAATTATGTTGTATCTGCAACAGAAGCAAACATGTTTCTGAAAGATTCTCAAAATGATTCTTGCAAAGCATTTGTGAGATCTTCAAATTAGCAGCAGTTCAGAAAATTTTAATGGTTAAAATACTTTAAATTCTTGTTTTAATTGAACACTGGTATCTCCACCCACCTCATTTGTTTCAGGTGTTCAATGTCTACACACATCTCTATCTTCTTCACGAAATCCTCGTATGTCGCGGCGTAGGTGTATTGCGGCGTGCGGCGCGTGTCCTCGGACAGCTTCTCTCGGTACTCCAGGTAGCTCAGTAGTTTCAGGTTGATGTAGTCTGGATCACATATCAAGTCCACCATTGGCTTCAGCGCTGAAATGAAGCAGGGAGCTCAATACAGGACTTGGCATCAGATATCGTCATGAAAATGCATTTTTTGTCAGTGATGACTATCACCTTCAATAAATGTTTGATTCTGTCGCAGCAGCTGTAGTAGCATGGAGAGGGCAGTCGGGACTTTATCCACTCATCTGTAGCCCCTGTCCCGTCTTACGATCACATTACGATATACAGTGAGTGAGTGAGTGAGTGAGTGCAGAGCTTCGCCAAGTTAAGCTGAATGAGTGAGTGAGTTGAGCGAGTGAGCTGAGTGAGTGGTTGAGTGAGTGAGTGAATGCAGAGTGTCACCGAGTGGTTGACCTGAGTGAGTGAAGTACAGAGCGTCGCCGAGTTGAGCTGAGTGAACGAGTGTGAGTGAGTGCAGAGCATCGCTGAGTTGAGCTGAGTTCAATGCCACTTTTGAAAGTATTCCAGTTACATCACAAATGTATTCCAGTCATACCACAAAAGTATTCCACAAAAGTATTCCAGTCATACCACAAAAGTATTCCACAAAAGTATTCCAGTCATACCACAAAAGTATTCCAGTCAAACCACAAAAGTATTCCAGTCATATCACAAAAGTATTCCAAGTTTATCACAAAGTTATTCCAGTCATATCACAGGGTGTCACCTATTAAACTATTAAACGGAAGTAGAAAATGCTGCGTGCTGAGTGCTGCCTTTGGTCTCATGTCATCGTAGCCCAGTTGTATAGATCGATGATCATGATGTTGATCACTGATTGTCTGGTCCAGACTCGATTATTTACAGACCTCCGCCACATAGCTGGCATATTACTGAGTGCAGCGTTAAATAACAAACAAAAAACAATGTTGAACGAAAGGCCAAAGTGATGCAGCTCTCAGTTTTTTCCACTTCGGAGAAACCCATGAGCATAAGTATGGTGCTCAGAAACATGTTCAGAGCAAACCGGGATTTGAACCCACAATCACAGGTTTCTGGCAAGGCAAGGGAAGCAACTCCATTATAAATCATGATGCCTTAGACAACTGGCTACCCATGTTATATTATAGAGATGTAACCATGGCAACATTACCGGTAGCAGTGACTATTTCCCTCAGTAGATGCCTGATACTGTGGCAGCGGTTATAACATGGCGGCAGGAGACAGATCAGCAGGACATCACACAACTTCCGTAAGTAGTTCCTCTCAGACTCCTCATCTCGTAACCAAGGGTGCAGTACAAATGTCGGCGCTTTCTCTGTCTTGTCAACAACATCCCTGGAACAGTAAAACAATTCCACAACTTAGAGTTGCCATATTGCTTGAACCATTTCAGGAATTTCATTCTAAAAGTATCCCAGTCATATCTCTGAATGTTAGACAAAGACCAAAGTGATGCAGGTCTCCTTGTGTTCCACTTTGGAGAAACCCATGAAAACAAGTATTTGCTCAGAAACATATTCAGAGTAAACCGGGATTCGAACCCACAGTCATACGTTTCTGGCAAGCCAAGGGGTGCATCTACACAGTTAACCATCGCTTGAAGATGCCATGTTTCAGGACTTTCAATTTAAATACACACTGACATAATGATCAGAGTAAAAATAGGTCCTGCACATGTGACATTGGAGACCACCCTGTCATGTTCAAAACATCTCAAATATGTAACTACAGTGAAACCTGCCAACAACGGCCCTCTCTCATCCGGCACACTGTCAAAACCGGCATAAAATTTTGGTCCCGCCATTTTACAACGACATTATGATGATTAAAACATTGTCTAATCCGGCACCTGTCTATTCCGTATTCCAGCACGACTTTCCGGACCCAACAAGCAATTTTAACTGTAATTAACACTGTCTAAACCGGCATGGGTTTGAGCAGTCCAATCAAGACCCATAATCCAATACACTAATTAATCCTCTTGGCACGCTAGATAATCAGGAAGTAGTGATTGCGCGGTGAATCAAATGCTCTAAGCATTGACAAGTGTAAATGGCAGCCATGTTGGAAAATCATCGTCAGTGTCTAATCCGGCACCCTGTCTAAACTGTATTTTAATTTCGGTCCCATGGGGGTGCCGGTTTAGACAGGTTTCACTGTAGATGGAGGGGACTTGCAGCTTGTTACATGCCATGATAATCATAATTATATTTCAAAGGAAATGTACTTCCATTTCCTACAAGAAACAACAACACAAGAAACAAGCCTTTCACTCATCCCTCAGCATTAAACTAACAACTGCATGTCTACATGGGGTGTTTTTAATCCATACATGCACAGAAAAATTCATCTTACAATAAATTGATACATCAATAAATCATGATATGCTTGGGTTAATACATTTAAACTAAATTTTCCAATCAATGTCACCCCTATCATTGACTTGAACATAAACAAGCCTTTTTGGAGTAAACACATATTATTAAATAAGATTGCACAAACATTTTACTGGACATCGGACACATGATGATTATGACAGTGATCTTACTTTCTGCATGCTAATCTAATGTCCCTGTAGTGATTGTGGAGCAGGTCAATGACCTCCTGTGTGATGACCTTCACAAAGTCGACCCGGGAGAGGCGGGATCCAAGCTCCTCCACCATTAGCCACATGTCACATCTGGTGAAATAACATTCCAGAAAACTTCATGTATACTGTTATACCTCGAGAACAGACTTATATCAACTAAATTGCTTCTTATACAATTATTTCTTATATTTTCTCAAGGCTAACATACAAATATTCACACATTGAGCCCATGTGGGGAATCGAACCCGGGTCTTCGGCGTGACAAGTGGACACCTGAACCAAGAGGCTACCCCCGGCCCGATTAGGATCAGATTATTAATTCAGGTTTTTTATATGACAATGATAATATCCCACAAATATGGTTATCAAATGGAGACAAAAACACGACAACATAATCTTAGTTTCATAAGAAACTAAATAGTTTCTTTAGATTGCCTAGAGTCTTAGATCATTGGCTCCCTCCCTCCCACTCACTCATTCACCTTTCACTCACTCACACACACACACACTCTCATTCAACTCACCCATCCACTTTCTCTCAACTCACCCACCCACTTTCTCTCAACTCACCCACCCATACAATTAATCACACACTCTCTCTCTCTCTCTCAACTCACCCACACATAGGCTCGCTATTGTCATGTCTTCGTCTCAATAAAGAACTGTTTTATGTCACAAACGTTTAACTTACTGTACAGAGTTTACAAATCTCTGCTGGTTCTGTCCAAGCTTGGTGTACCAGGAAAGGATGAAGTCATTGATAGCGAGGTCCATGATGTCTTGGATGGCATTGTCCAGACTCCGGCTGATGACCACTTTCCTCGACGCCTCTTCCACTTTAGCCTGCTTCTCCTGGTTAAAGACAAAGGCACAGAGGAGTTAAAATGGTGTTTACCATCATGTTCAGGATTATTTCAATCTTACAGCAACAGTCTTCACATCTGGCGCCATGTACTATACCAGACTAACAGTGTTTGCCAACCAAGATGGCTGGTTTAACGTGGATACTGAACTGCCACTCGCCAGTGTTGGCTTATCTCCTTGTAGGTAACATCATGTATTTTAACTAGTGGTGTGACGATTCATCGATACACATCGATACATCGATCCATGGGCCACCGATACAGTGAATCGATACAAAATTTTACATTGTCGTATATCCCGATACGAAACTTCAAATGAGCCACGATACATCAATGTTTAACTTTGAATATTGTCGAATCGCGATATCTGTCAAGAAAAAAAGACTTACTTTGGTTTGATGATTAAAATATTTGCTTACTTATTTTCCCTTCATAAGTAAACGTTTTCTCGGAAATTCTTGCGTCAAGAACTTTGTAAGACATAGCGCTCGCATGTTATTTACATTCACAACATTCGTGTATAAACTTAATTTTCTCGTTTCCGAATGAACATTGAAAAACGCTGGCAGAATTTGACAAAATAATTTAAAATGGTTTTGTATTGATCCTAAGGTGTTTTTATAGTTCGTGTTAGAATTAAAGATTTTAGTATCATGATATTATCGATTGCCACCCTTATATCAAAATGCATACAAGTGTGGGGATTCAGATCTAAATACTTTTCTTGACTAAAATTTTAGTATCGTGATGTATCGTATCGCAGGTTGTATGCCAATTCCAGCACTAATTTTAACATCTTTTGGTATGACACAGTCTGGGTCAACCATCAAGCTTTAGCTCTCTGGATAGATGCTGTGGTCACTACTCCATGAGATAGTGACTATTCTAGGATAGGTCCCCTTCACCGACAAGGGATGTTCAGTGGTGTTACATACATTACGAATGATTACATAGAAATAATTTCTTTGAGTGTTCAGGTTTGTGAACAGATTTTACAACAAATAAATGAAAACCAAATGACAATATTATACTCAATTCTACCTGTCACATTACAATTTATAAAAAATTAATGCCTCATTATAGTTGGCACTCCCTCAAACAGCTTTTTGCCACACAATAACAGAAAAAACCTAATTGTCATGTTGATAAATGCACTGCAAACAAGAGAAAATGGCAGACTCCCCTCCTCTATGACATCACAGCAAAGATCTCAATGAAGCAGGGGTTTCAATATGCATATGAGCTGGTTGTGGGACTAAGGAAGGTGTTCGATGCTTTTTAGATAACGATAAAATCACTTATGACTTTATTTTGTGTATATATATTTACTTTGTTTGACCATTAATTTGTAATAAAAAGTTTGTATTCAACATATTTATTTCAAGGAGATCATGGGGTCTAAGGGATCTGCTCTTACTGTATTTGAATCTTTAGTCATACAAAGGTATTTCTGCAGGCAATGGTCAATTGGTCATAATAAACCACTTCCATAACTAAACAGTAGGAAACTGTTATCATGGGCATTCATTAATTTCATCCAATGATGGACTTATTTACAGAGGAAGCATGGCAAATGAACCTATCGGTAGCATTTACCCTCATTACCATCTCAATTACAACATCAAGACTGAAGCAAAGATCCTATTGGCAAATATGTTACAAATAATCACAATGATTCCAACAAAACAGTAACAGTTAATATCGACACTTAATTTTGAACACTGATGAAGGATAGACCATCAAGCACATACCATCATCTTCTGTAGCAGAATGGAAGCCAGGTTGACCTGTCTGGGTGTTGTGACGGGCTTGTAAAGCTTTCCCTGTACAAGATGCCATTGTATGGAGTAGTAGAAGGCAGCACCAGCAGCAGCAACATGGATGCCAACGTAGAGGAATGGTGACAGCCAGTTGTAAATATACAGAATGGACAGAAACACAGCTCCTAGAGCACCCAGCAATTTGTAATCCATACTGTCTCTAGATCTCACTCATATCCTAAGTATCTGAAACACCAATGATTATAATTATTTTATAGATTTATAATTTCTGGAAGTCAGGGTAAGAATTCGCCCGTAACCCCTGCTTGAAATGTATTCTATTCATTAGGATTATTTCGAGGGTTTAGGGTTAGGGTTAGGTTTGGGGTTAGGTTTTAGGGTTGGGTATAGGGTTAGGCATAGGCATAGGCATAGGCAGGCATGTAGGCATGTAGGCATAGGCTAGGCTTTTTATATAAAAAAACAACAACAAAGTCCTATATTCTTAGGCATAGGGTGATTAAAGAAAATATGGGTGTTACGGGCGGAAATCTTTCCGAAGTCTGTTCTCTGCCCCTGTTGTGATTTACGATTTTGTCAATTTGCAATTCGTCATTCTTATGTGGATACAAAAGAACTGTAGTAATAATATGTGCCATGACAGGCGTGATCAAACTGCAGCTAGAAAGTTCTTTTGCAATCGTGTAAGCATTCATCTTTCATCTGAGCCTACGGAATCTTCATTGTGATTAATTCATTCAAAACAGTCTTACAAAAGTATCAAGTCACGAACATTTTTCCCAGATGGAGGCGCTGTTTATGCCAAGCCAAATCTGACAGGTGCCCGAGGTGAAGTCAGGTGCAGATTGACTTTGGATCTAATATATACGTACTGTATACATAAATCGTAATGGAACACCAGTGTATGTGTGAAGCGCATATACATGTAGCTTTACCTCGCCTGCACAGAGAGGCGTAACTCGAGTGACACCACACGTAACGTCAACACTCTTCACATGATGGAAACTGTGTGTATGTTTATTACAAAGGGTCAAATCAAAGGTCACTTCCTTGTTTTTAAACCTCGCGCTTTCTCGCACATTAATGTATACTACCTACGTACAACTAGTTATTTATGTGATTATACATGGGTGTCCGCGGGCTGATATGTACATACATCTTATAATTTCCGTATATCAGATTATGCCTTTAATATCAAATGTATTATAAGATTTATGTACTATGGGAGCATAGTTAAGTCTTGTACACAGCGATTAACGAATAACCAGCTCAGAATATACAGTCAGGAAAATATGTTCATTGTGCCGACAGGTGCCCGGATCACAGCATGACCCGTCGTCTGCCCTGATGATTGTTTGGCGGGTGATAACTCATTCAAAATTAATCTCACGGGCTGGAATAAGGACATGATTTAAATTAGGGGCAGTGAAGTTACAGTTCATAACCATGGATGAATCAAATGACAGCAGTTGGTTGAGCAAGCCGAACGAGGCTTTGCTGGAAAGTCAATATCCACTGCACACTGCTATTCGTGATGGCGATATGGAAAGAACTGTGTCTTTGTTGAAAACAGGGCGGTTTGATCTGTACGAAGAGGACGGGTTTTACGGATGGACACCTGTTCACTGGGCAGCACACTTTGGAAAAGTAATAACTTCAGCTATTGTCAAACTTTTTGTCAGTTTTAACTGAAGGCTATATTCAACCCCGGGCAAAACATTTTGCTGATAAGTGTGTAGGCATATTGTTGACAAGGCCGTTCGGTCTATTTTTAGAACAGTGGAAAATAATACAACCCGGAAAGAAAATGAGGCTGTCGAACAGTATGTCTACGTGAAGAGGCAACTTTCATGTATACATGTGAATTGTAACTGGCAACTCAATGTTAGTGCGTACGTCTCAATGCAATGGTAGTGTTAAAACACATATACCCTTGTATATTTAAGACATGGGTGGAATAATTTTGATTTAGCCAACTTGAGAGAGTTATGATGTCGGCTAGCATTGTCTTGTAGATGTACAAGCCATGATAAGCCTTTTAAATCTCTCCAAGGTTTTTAATTTATTTCATTTAATTGCCATACTACTACTCTTACATTTAACACTAAGGTCAGTTAAACCTCTGGTAAGTGCAAAGTGTATTTTTACCTGATATATTTCGTTTAACAGAATTTTAGATTTGACACAATTTTGAGTTGAATTTTCGAAAGACGGACGCATGCCTCAGAATCTGTGTATCAGTCCAGCTGGTGCAAAAAGCTATAGTCACCTAGCCAAAACCTATCTGTCTGGCTGACATGGTTACTGCATCAACTTTTATTATCCAACTTTACAGGCATGAAAGAAATGGATTCAGGTTTCAGTGGTAGAACAAATGTTGAAGTCACGCACAGTGAACCCTATTTGTTAGATTTTTTAGAACGTGGTTATGTTTGGTTACCTTTCCATGTTTATTGTTTATGATATTGTTTCTTGTATTGTCACATTCAGGCTGTGACAATCTGTGCTGTTCCAAACATGTTACATGTTGAACAATGCTGTAGGCTTTGGTCATCATGTGTTGCTGTCAACTGTCAAGATTTATTGATACACACCTGTTGAACATCAATCATCCAACTTTGTTTTGACAATAGGTATTTATTAATTGTCATCACAGATGACATTGAGAGATACATGGAATGTGGAGTTTCAATTTATATGTGCAATTATGGTGCCCAATTATGCCAAATGTTTCATTTGTTATTATCATCGATACATGTTTTCTCTATTTCCAAATATCCCTTGCAATATATTAGAACTGTTACATGGTTGCCTCATATGAAAGCATAATGAATAGCACATAAACATGGTTAAACCACTCAAAAATGTTATTTCCGCACAATTGTTTCCTAATATTCATATAATATGGGAGACTATGGATGTATTTGATACTATTACTAGAGGTATGAGATAAACAACTGATAATACTTACAAATGTCAACTTAGACATGCTTTATGTAAAAGGTAAAAAATTCTGCAAAAACCCTCCAGTTTGGGATCCAGTCCAAGGCTCATCTCAAATTTGAGATAAGCAGGCAGATATATATAGGTGTTGTATGAGTATATTTATTATATATAACCACTTTATATTTTATATACAAAAATGTATCCCAGGAAATACCTGGGCAATATATTTTCTTTTTAGTAAATAAACTGCATAGATATGCAGACATTAGGTTAGTAAGCTTGGCTAATTGTACAAAAGCATATAGTATAGTACTTATTCTACTGAAATTGATCATATTGAGTTTCTTCAAATCACTGTAACTGCTAATCGATCCAGCCTAACTGATTTTTCTTTCAATGGTAATGACAAGCATGATAACATGCATTGTGTGAATTTCTGAAGAGTAAGGTGAGAGAAGAAAGATCACTATTTAAAACCTTCCTGACGAGCAACATACACCATTGGTGATATGAAACTTGTCTACAGCTTATTCTCAACATGCGTCTAGTAAAATAAGTAGATTTGGGGTGAATGGTACTAGTCCATCGATACTTGACTAGTCCAGGACTTGACACACTATATCCTTTCATTCTAATTTACCTTTTTCTTTTTTCATGATTTTCCTTCAACATATTTGCTGTGATCACAGTTGTGGTTTTCCAAATCCTTCTTTCCATTTGTGTTTTAGGCAAAACAAGCTTTCCATAACCTCAAGCATTTACCAGGTCTTTTTCTTATATATTGCTGAAGCCCATTTCTGGTGTCCCCTGCCATGATATTGCTGGAATATTGCTAAAAGCGGCATAAAACCATACTCACTCACTCTTATATATTGCCATGATATTGACTCTTCATAACAAATAGTCTTAACATTTTTATTTAGTCCAAAACCCTGGTATAGTTATATATGTTTCTGTCTCAGCAGATAACTTTTTATTAAGATAGATAATATGTTAAACTCTAAAATCAATTGAAAAAGATTCCAAAATATATATTGGGGTAATACATTTGAAAATGTCAGATGAAAATGTTTTTGGATAACACAGCAGTTTCAGTTTGGTATCTATTTGAGACATTGGTTTTATCTTATACTTTTTAACCTTTTGATCTGATCATGCTGGTTAAAGTTTATAACTTTGCCCTCATTAATAATCAATAACTCATCTGGAATGTGTCTTTGTGTTACTTCTTGCCACCAAAGTCACTGTAAATGGGTGATCTGGATATTTGTGGATATTGCTAAATCACTACAGACTGTTAGACATGCACATAGTACTTTAATGGCAACCTATTTTTTCATTTTATAAAACAAGTAATTTTAGACTTGCTTTGCAAAATTTCTGTTTGTTTATATGTAGTTTAGGTTTTGCAGAGAACATGTAGAAGAAAAGGTCCAAGTTTTCTGTCTCTGTGTTAATGTATGTAGTACTGTTCATTTCTTGTAGTTAAGTGTTGTGTGTGCATTGTGATTTTAGTTGACGTGCCTTATGCAGTTACTCCAGCATGGTGCCAGCTGCGATGCCGCTACTCTTCGCTTCAACCAAACCCCTGTCCACATTGCTGCTTTAGATGACAATATATACTGCCTAAAATGGTTGTTACATTGTGGTGCTTCCGTCAACAGACAGGTAAATCACAAATAGTAACTGAAATGTTAACTTTGGTTTGTAGCTTGATATCCTGAGAAAGCTTGTGTCAATGTCGAAAGATGGCTCCCCAGTTGTGAGATCGAATCGATCCCAGGTAACTCCAGCTCATCTGGCTGCAATGTCAGGGCACCCCCACTGCTTGCAGTGGGTACTTCAAGCTGGGACTGACCCCTGTATTCAGGTAAATAGTGCATGCTGTAGACTAGACTGATGTTTAGTCTCTGAATAAAAATAATTTTGATACTTTCAAATAAACCCATTTGAATTGAAAAGGCGCCCCTGTGAGATTGGAAATTCAGAACCTGAGGAAATCAAAGACTTTCTTCAGCTGGGGCTTTAGCATTGCAGGGAGGGCAAGGCAGTAGGGAAAATAATATGGTTCATGGACTGTGAGATAGGCTAGCTGTAGACAAGCCTTGCCTTCTGAAATTTAGCACAGTGAGCCAGACTAATAGATATGCTATCATATTAGTACATGTATCCATGAAGGGTCAGTGTTTAAGAGTAAAATCTGTTCATAAAGCCTATTTGGTGCTAGTGAACTGTAATATCCTTTGAATTGAATCCATGTCATATAACTGGTTTGAAGTAATCTGTTCATATTGTATGGAATAGATATTTTCATAAACATTTTGGCAATGCAGGCATGGTCAGCAAAAGTGACTCAGCAGTTCTATTTTAGGGCATAGCAATTTCAGCTATGCTGCCAGGTTTTTCACCTATGTAAGGCTGCAAACATTAGAATCTCATATTGTAAGTATCACATCTCATACACATAAACCTTTGTCAACACGCTGCACATTTTGACATTAGAAATGAGCAGTTTGTATATATGATACTTGTATGTTATGGAGCAAGCTATATCATATTGTGTGAGACTGGAATTTCCTGAACAAAAGCACTGACCGATTTATTGTAAAAGTAATATACAGATTGCAGTACCAGTGACGGTTGTTGTCCCCCGGCGGAACGGGGTACTATGTATTCAGCGGCGCCCGTCCATACATCCCGATGCTTGTTAACGTGATATCTCATGAACTGTTGTACCCAATGTCTTCAAATTTGGTGACAGTCTACATACGGGTATTACCCAGACACCAGTCGACTTTGGTGACCTTGACCTTATCTTCAAGGTCACCACGACACTTTGAACACTTGTCAAACTCTTGTTAAAGTGATATCTGACGCACTGTTGTATCCAATGTTTTCAATTATGTTGACAGCCTACATTGGGTGATTATGGCAGACACCAGTCATTTCAGGCATCTTGTATGTGACCAAAAAAATAAAAAGTAGTAAATATAGATATTCCATTCTTTAGTGGCGGGGGACATTGCCATATCACTGGCAAACACTTATTTGGTTGGCTCTCAGCCATTTTATCGGATTGTTGTTGGTGAGGTTGGCTTCAAATCTTCTGTAATAACTGGAATTGCATGGGGTTTAAATTAGTTTTTGTCCAAAATCAGACATTGAACAGTCATGGCTTTACAGTGATTCATCAAAAATGGGCTTGTGAGTTAGTGAGTATGGTTTTTACGCCTCTTTTAGCAATATTTCCGCAATATCACTGCGAGGCACACCAGAAATGGGCTTTGTTGACAGAGGGTGAGTGAGTGAGCAAGTATGGTTTTACGCCGCTTTTAGCAATATTCCAGCAATATCACTGAGGGAACACCAGAAATGGGCTTCAACCATTGTACCTATGAAGGGAATTGAACCTTGGTCTTCGGTGTGATGAGCAAACGCTTTAACCACTAGGCTACCCCAACACCCCTGCCGACAGAGGGGATATTTGTATGTTCTTCAGATATTGCATAGTGACCTGACAATGATTGTCTAATGACTGGCACTCAAGTATTCCTTGCTTGATTTTTACTTTCTCCTTTTATACTATTAAATATGTAAAATGTAAAAGATTTTAGTGCAAGATCATGAAGCATTTGTTCTAATTATTTAATATATTAGTAAAGAATTTTGAAATTGTGAATTGGTAACAAATTAAGAAACAAATATTTTAAAATTATTTCCCAAGTATGCATACACATTTTATGAGTATAGGATATAGCAATTCATATCCATTAGATCCCTGCCATTTGTGGCAAGAAATTTTGTTGTCTTCAGTATATTTATACTCCCACTAGCGTTCATTCTGTCCTTCCGTCCCAAAACTTTGTCCGTAGCATATCTCTTAAAGTTTACATGCTATGTTAATCATTACCCATTGATGTGCCTTTTGCTATTTTAAAGTTTTTTCAGAATTTTGGGGTTTTTTTTGCTGTTTCCATGGAAACATGACTTAGTGCCAAATGTGTTTGATGGTTTTGTCCGGAGCATATCTCTTAAAGTTTACATGCTAGGTTCACCAAACTTCACACATATGTTAATCATTACCCATTGATGTGCATTTTGCTATTTTAAAGTTTTTTCAGAATTTGTTTTGTTGTTGTTTCCACAGAAACATGACTTGGTGCAAAATGTGTTTGATGGTTACCTGGCCACAGCATATCATGGAAACTATACATGCTAGGTTCACCACACTTAATACGAAAGTTAATCATGACCCACAGATATGCCATGTACTAAAAAATAACAATCGTCATCTACATCCACTTCATTGTGTGCAACATGAGACAGTCAAGTTCAATTGTATGTCAGGTTTCCACAGAAAATACACAAAAAATAATGTTTCCATAAATTATTACTGTAATCAGTACATGGCAAAACTATTATCTAACATGTATATAAAGTTTAGTAGAGTCAAGGAGAAAGTCTAGTGAGCTGCTGATCCTTGTCACATTATATATATCAATATCAGTCATTTCCATGTCCCAAAGTGGGAAGCGGGGGTATGTGAGTTGTGCTCACTTCTACACTTGTTAATGTGGTCCCACATTTCAGTTTTGGACCAAATGGACCCAACTTTAAGGCAAATACAGTGGATGCTGGTACTCATAGTGGTAATCACTATCCTCTGTCAGGCAACATGCAATAATCATGATAATGATTTGCTTTCTATACATTGCAGTAGTCAGCTTCTCAACAATGCTCAATACCATTAATCGTGGCAGTACATCTACGACACATTAACTCACCAATAGCTGGGCTCAACTGAACTACATGAACTTGCAAGAGGATAACAATTGATAGCCTTTTAAAACATCTGCTTTGTACTTCAGTATATAGGAAAATAACTATGACTCTATATGTTTATATGCATTCAGATTATGTATATGTCAGGGTAGAGATTGCGATTGCGAGATTCTACCAGTAGAGATTGCGGAAGTCTCTGATTAAATAGAAAAACCTATACAATCGCAATCTCTACCAGTAGAAGCTCAAATCTGATCCTACTAGTAAAGATTGCAATCTAAGTGAATATTTAGAAAAACAAAGTTTATTTTCGTATATTGTAGAATGACATCTTCCACTGAAAAGTGCACAGTTTGTCCAACTTGATTCTTACAAACAAAGTGAAAATAAAACATTGTTACTTTGTTTTCATTTGTGATTGTTATTGTAAATAAATATAACTCTAACCCAAATATATATCTGGCCGGTCATTTCTCCACCTTCCTGGGTTTTTTTTTTGTTATTTCACTCAAATATAAGAATAAATGAACAAGAAGAGTGAATAAACAAGAAGTTGTGTAAAATACATTTCATTCTTTATTTTTCAGGTCCCATCTGACAAAGTTCTTGGTATAGCATTTTGTTTTCATGTATCCATTATGACAGAGCTTGAAATCACCACTGGTCTTGATAATCACCATCTGTGTTATTTATGTTATTGGTTGCTGACGACATGGCAGTGTATAGTACAGTTATAGGATTACAAAAAACATTCGATAAGTAAAGTAATTATTGTGATAAATGGCAGCTAAAGGTAAATATAGAAAAAACTAAGGTATTCGGCTATGTATGGGTTAATCAAGATGTAGGTTGTATTAACAGTTTTATTTCAAGTTTTAAGGAAAGGTGTATTGCTATTGATAGTATATCAAGTTATTCCAAACTTCCATTATATAAATCTGTTAAAAGTGAAATTAAATGTGAGGATTATTAATTGCTAATTAGTGTACCAGTTTACCGTATTTCACTCTGTAAGTTCCGATGCTCTAATCATCAACTGCTAATCGAGGAAAGACGAAAGATCGGCCTAGCACGGATCGAAAGATTATGCCCTTTTTGCATTGTACCCATTATTGAGTTCTGAATATCACTTCTGCTTAGAATGTAATTTTTATAATAATCTTCGTCAGGCCCTGCTCCCAAAGTATTATTACACTTCTCCATCACTCCATAAATTTGTACAATTGTTGTCATCTTTGTTGTTTGCCACAGATCAATCAGAGTTTCTGCCATTTGAATTGGAAATGGTACTGGTAGAATCTCCGATTGCATTCTCTACTGTCTAGAATCGGAGATTCTACCAGATCACAATCTCTACCCTGACATATATATTTCTATTGAGAGCTTTCTCTAATACATATCTTTTATGTTCAGTCTAGATAAGCAAGCAAGCAATGCATGGCAAATTAACATGGAATATACATGTAATTTTGATCAGCTTTAGTATTGGATGTTTTCAAAAGGTATTTTGCATTAAATGTCCCAAATAGTCATTAACTTTTGTTTTCAAATGGTGGAAGGTAACAAAGTTTCAATTGATAATGTTTCTTCAGGATTACTGTGGGGAGACACCGCTACATAAAGCAGCTAGAGCAGGCAGTATGGAATGTGTCAGTTTACTGGTGGCACAGGGAGCTGCTATAGGGTATGTACTCATTCTGTCTGGCAGCATACCCGTGAAGATCCGGGTTAGAATTGATCTTCAGTAACCCATGCTTGTCGTAAGAGGCGACTAACGTGATCGGGTGGTCAGGCTAGCTGACTTGGTTGACACATGTCATCGTATCCCAGTTGCTTATATCGATGCTCATGCTGTTGATCACTGGATTGTCTGGTCCAGACTCGATTATTTACAGACCGCCGCCATATAGCTGGAATATTGCTGAGTGAGGCTTACAACTAAACTCACTCACTGTCTGGCAGGAGTCCCGTAAATATTTATCACTCCTACATTAAGTTCAGTGCAAGACAGCTATGTGTTTCTTGAACTAGACTTAAAGACTTGTGATCACTCATTGATAACTAGTGATTTTTGAGACATTTCATAGCTCTGAAAACTTTTAGGTAATAATTTTTATTTTAACAGATTTGAGTGGAAAGTGAGGATCATGTAATTCAATCGGAAAACAATTTCAAATTGCATTTTGTACGTTTTGCAATTAAATCAATGGGTCGTACACTCAGAATGCACGCTAGTTATGTGGCCTGAGGGTGCTAAATTGTGCTGATGACAAGTAGAAACTGAATCATGGTGATCCCTTACTGACTCGGAGTATTTGAAGGCTGTAATGCTGCAAGCTTTACCAGTTTACAAGATCAAGTCATTCTTGAAAGACCCACTACAAACTCATTGTGACAAAACTAGTGACTATTTCTACACAAGCCTCATGGGTCGGTCTATGTGACAAAAACTTCTTAAGGCTGAGATACACACCTTGAATGGGTCTTACGTTGTATAAATTGACATAAGGTATATCAGTCGTATGTCACATGCAGTCTGTGGATCAGTTATATTTCCAACAGCCATATTATTATAATTTTTGTTACCTCAGGACTGACAATGTAAAATGTTTGCATTAATTCACAATTTGTATGCATGTGGGTATTTTGCAGCCACTGAATTCCTGCATAGATTACATCTACAATTTTCTGAACACGTACAGTTTATTTTTCAGATTGAGGAATCACAGTGGTCATACTGCCTCGCAGGTAGCCTCTTTAGGAGGTTATTCAGAGTGTGCTATCAGTCTGGAGAAATCACTGCAGTTTCAACAGCAGTCCATGGCAGCCAACATCGTCCAGACTCACATCTGCAATAATAATAACACTGAAATGTTATCTCATCACATGAACGATGAAAATGTTGAGAAGGACCGTCTTGATGGGGATCATCATGGAAATGGAGACATAGATATGGACACTCATTCTGAAGAATCTATGCACAAGACACATGTGAATTGTTACCAAGTTACCAATGGCGTTGATGTGGGTGAGAATGGTTTCTCTGGCATGAAACGAGGAAGAGATGATTTGGAAGAAGAGGTCTTCAAAAGAAGGCGGTGTGATGGTTGGTATCTGTGATGCTAGAAAATTAAAGTAGCAAATTGGTCAACATATTTTTTAGGGATTCACCAACAAAGAGTTTGTTCAGGAAAATTTTCAAACATGTAGACTTAGGTATTGTAGTTTATATATTCTGGTTGGGTTTGTAAATGCAGTGTTTCAGATTGTCTGACAGGATAGACATAATTGTTTTTGCTAACTAGCCCAAAGCTTATTCTGGACACGTTGTTTGTGTAAAGTTACTTGAGTTGCAGAGAAATTAACTGTAGCCTTTAAATTTTCACTGGTCTTAAAGTAAAGACAGTCTGTCCCAACCAGGGTTTTTTGTATTCTTAACACTATTAAAGACCTATCCTTTAACAGGGCTCGATTTTGTACTTTGTTACTTGCATTGGTGCAACCCAATATTACAAAGTGCAACCTAGTTATTATCCTAACTTGAATTTTTGAGTGAGTAAACTTCTGAATAAAACATCTAAATAATTCAACAGCATATCTATTTCATTACATATTGCAATAAAAGCAGTGCAAATGGAATTTGTCTGGTGCAACTAGGTTTTTATCTTAGGTTGCACCTGGTGCAAGTAGGTTAACATGTTTTAAATCGAGCCTTAGCTATAAGGATCTTTTTACCTCCATTTGTGATACCTGCTTGACTGGCCCGTCGTTTTCACAGGTAATCAGTGTGTTAATCTATAATGAGTCCATCAGTCTGAAACACTGTAAGAAAGAATACTGACACCCATATCATGAGAGTATGACCTTACTAACATTCTCTGTGTGTTTGCTAGTAGCTGCATCTGTGCATGTTCCATGAATATTTTGACAGGCAATGTGTGTTTGATATCAGTATTTGGGTGTTGAGTAGTTGCAGGAATGAAGAGTTAACTTGAAAATTAAGGTACTTTTTATAGGACTTAAACATAATCTGATGCCCTAATGATAATGGATTTATATTGAAGATTCGCCCTGGTTGGTTATATCTGCACCAGACCTGTGCTTGTGGTATTCACAAAAGTGATAATGTTTTCATTCCTACATCACCTAAGGCTTTCCTCCCAATACAGTCACAATTAACTTCATACACTAAAGGAAGTAAGTCCAGACACACAGGAGTCATTTTCAGACCATGTCAGAATTCTTGTGCATAGTGTGCAGTCAGTGAACAAATTTATATTTATACATACTCCATATCTTGTTTTCTTTAACCTGAATATTATAAATCATGCTTTTTCAAAATAATTCAACCAGAAAATGCGAGGGTTGTTTTTAAAATGTAGACTTTCCTTTTTGCACATTGCACATTGCACTAGCACATTTTTGCAAATAACATCTGACTTAGGGACAAGAGACAGGTTGTGGGGCCTTGAGACCTTAACTCATTAACATCATCATAGTAGATTGTTTGAATGAACAGTATCAAAAAGCCGTCATAATCTCCTTCAATTTCCAGCAGTAGCTGAGCCTCGGGCAGAATCATGTTCACTCACAGTATATCTAGCACTGAAATGCTGATGCTGTTAGTTGCCACTTCCCTTCACTAATATCACGACTTACTGCTTTCGCTTTCCATTTCTTGCACAAACTGTCAGTTGAGATGTTATGCTTCCTAATAACAGTGAATTGTGTCCCCAAATTGTTTCACTGTGATACTAGAATGGTCACAGGTGACTCCTTCTTTTTCACAGAGCAGCCTTCACACCGTGTTGAGGCCACGTCTCACAATAACAATATACTGAGTTCATACAATGCTATTCTGGCCATCTCCGCCAATCCAAGCACTACGTCAGACAGTCATTCGCCAGGTACACAGTCTACACTTTTCTTCTGCTGACTTGTCTGTCTCTTTCTTGTGAGGTGAGCTGGTTTAGCTGTAACACTTGTTACCATAGTAACTTGTTATTATTACATCATTATTATAATGTTTTCTTATCTTGAAATGTGTATGGTGTAAATATTTGCTTTGTGCAGGGCTACATGTTGGTAAAGTGGTTCACAGGACTTACATGCAAGACATTTTATTAATTTCATTAAAAAATGAATGACTCTCTACTAGTGGTGATCCGATTAATTGAAATAATCAAAGATTGGTCACAGTGACTAAACGACCAAGCAATCGATAATGTTTTCTCATAATCAAAAACAAACAATTCAGGAACACTTGTTTTCATCAACAATATTTTTCACAAGGTTGGTTTTGTCTGTTACATTTCATAAGCACTACAAGCGTTCCAAGTCATGATTTAATTTATCTTAAAGACACCAAGAAATTTATGTTCCTAACATACTAGTCATCCTTTAAAGATGTGAAATTTTGCACACAAAAAACCCCCAAAATAACTACATGTTTTTTCCTTATTTTTGTGCATTAACAAATTTCATAAATGATGCTAACCAATTATTTTCGATGGTTGATCGGTGGTAATGAACCAATCATCAATTATGGGATTTTAACCAATTCCCAACACTACTCTCTACACACATCAGTATAGTGTTAAGGAGTGATGACAAGACTCAAGGTCTAATTTCCCACAAGTTGGTTTGATTGGTGTTACATTGCGTAGGTCAGGTAATCTAATGGTTAAAACATATTCTGTTTGTATCCTTAATATGACTCAAACCCCCACCCCCAAAGTACTAGAATCTGTACTTTTCTAATAAAGTGTAATCCCAAATATAACATGTTCAATCAGAGGTACAGATAAGCTGCCGTATCTGCGTAAATTACGCAAATATTTATGTGAAAACTCAATTCCTATTAAGTCCATTGCATACAAGTACGCATGAATTTTTGCAAATACCCAATAAATGTGATCTTTCTTGTGTACACACAAAAATGTCAAATCTTAGCTTATGTACTGGTGGATAGATAAAATAGCTGAAGTATATTGAGAGGTTCTATTTCAGGACATGAACTTGACAACTTGCAGTCTTTCTGATCGTTTCTCATATTACAGATCAAACGTAAATCATAAACACTAACATTTAAACTTTATTACATTTTTACGGTCAATGGAAAATGGCAAATACCCAATTCAGTTTGAGTGAGGCGAGTACAATTTGTGTGGTTACTTAAAGGAAAATTAGGATACCCAATTGAGATGAACATAAGAGAGTACATAACTCATTCATCCAAAAAGTTATCTGTAGCTCTATCACTATAATATAACGTGTATTCACTGAAGGCCCTTGTACAGTATATAAAATGGTCATACCCCACTTTGCCGGACAGCTGATGTGATGATAACGAATTAAGAGTAACGGGCTGCTAGTTTGCCGGCTATAGTCTGTTTTCAGTGAGTATTTGTCACCCATAGTCATTTGGGGGACATGAGCGTTTGGCAGACTGAGTTCGAACTCATTAATTACAAGGCATCAATTTGTTTTGAGTGAACTCGATTTCTAGTAACTAATTTGAGTGAACTCAAATTATATTCCAATGATTATTTCTGAAGTTGTGCCTGCATATTAAGAATGTAGACATGTTTTATTGCAAAATGGCAAATGCTCAAGTTAACATTCAGTTCATTCCAAATTCGAGGGGAGGTATGTAAACACTTAATCTATCTAGATCACAAGTTTAGGGTTAAGAGCACAAAAGGGACGAGTTTATTGGAAATGTGGTAAGACAGGTTGTCCTGCAACGGCCAACACCGTCAGTGTTGTTCTCAGCAGTTCCAGGAACATACACAACCACCATCAAGATCAAGTTCAGTTCAGAAAATATTTATGCATATTTATTTATGTCTTCAGTTACCATTTTCTCGTTTTCTGAAAATGTACAAAATATGTATTTATGAATTTTATCATAAAGATAAAATGTACCAAAAATGTTGAATTGGTGAAATATAAACAGTGTGTACTTTCTTAGGCCGAAACAGACTATAAGTTAATACCCTATTGTTTAAGGGATTATTGCACATCAGTGAATCTTTATCTATAACAAAAGCGTCCGGCAAAACAGGACCCCCCTATAAACTCCATCACTTCTGTCCCAGACTTGATACTGCTGGAGTAATACTCAAAGTGTCATGAAAATCCCACTCACTCACTCTGCATGTAACATATAGTGTAAAGCCTATCCTGAATGTCAGCAGTACGCATGTACATACTGTATATATATGTACACTCACGCCTTTTGTCTAGCTGCTTATGGTGGTGGTTTATTATGCATTCAAGTAGTCTTTGAAAAAGAGCACAACAATCAAGAAGTCCTTATCAGTACCCAAATGTCTTACATTCAAGTTTTAGAGTGTGCACAATTCTGATAAATGATATGAAAGTGGTTTCATGAAGTTTTAACACTAGGATATTTGCAATCGTAGCGCATTTGACTCAAAGGGTCTGTATGAGTTATTGCCTTCATTGGTTCTGCCCCCGAAATCTTTTTGAAATGTGATTTAAGATGTGATTTACATTGATATATTGTCCGCACATGTTTGAAGACTCAAAGTTCTGATTGACATATCAATAACCTTGTATCAGAATTGACAGATAAAATTCTGTCTGACAGTGTGCTTGGTAAATCATTTTAAAATGTATTCATATTTATATATATCCAGAAGCATAATGTGCTGTGTGTGAAATGTTTCCCATCTTAACTGGATGAAAAAGTCTATTTGTCTGTTTATTGGTTCACTTATGCATAGTAATGACGACTACCGTAATCTGAACTTGTAGTCTCAACAAAGTCTGAAATGTTATCAAAAATGAGTTTGACTAAGAGAGTGTTTCTTTTGTGTGATTGTTGCTGTGGGCCAGGTAGGTTATAGAGTCGTTTGGCTAATTTATAGTGCTCCTTTGAAGAGGGAAACATGGTTTTTAGTTTCCCATAAATAGACACTTTCAAACCCCCACACTGAATACTTTCTGACAAATAGAGGGATTTTTCTAGTCAGTATTCACATGATGCATGAAATCTGCCATATGTGATGAATTATTTCTTGTTACCCATCTTCTGCCATGATGACCTTCATGGCACCCTCAGGATTTCTTTGGCTTACTCCTAGATTTTTTCCACACAGAAGCAACAGTTATCCCCCCTTGCTCCATGGATCCGGATGAACCTTCCCACCCTACCAATCCCATGCCTTCGAGTGGATCCTCTACCTGTCATGTGATCAGCCAGAATCAAGACATTCCAGTTAAATGTTTAGCCCTGCACTCTCATATGATATGAGCTTTTGTCTAAAAGTATGGCAAATCTTGTTTAATTGCCTGTCTGCATTATTGTTATTAGTACTTGATGTTGTTTAGTTTGTGCAAAAAAATACCTACATCAGTCAAGTTTGTATGGAATGTATAACAGTTTCTTGAATCCATCACTATATATATATATATAGGACCTTAATGTATTTTACTCATATTTGTTTGAAATTTAGTATGAAAGCCAGTGGTTCCCTGTCTGTAGGGGATCCCTGGATGATTAAGACAAGACAAGGACCATAATTTGATCAAGGATACCCCATAAATTTGTAACACAAGAAGTGTTTATCTAATATGAAATCTACGTGGTATGATCCCTTTGGCAATTTCTTGATGGTATGGGTCCCCAGTATCTCATGCTTGTCACAAAAGTTTGAATTTGTAGATTTATCATAGCAGATAATACCGGTGAAGGTCCGGGTCAGAATATTGATCTTCAGTAACCCATGCTTGTCGTAAGAGGCGACTAACGGGATTGGTTGGTCAGACTCGCTGACTTGGCTGACTTAAAACTAAACTCACTCACTCTTACAGATAAGATCAAAGACTCAGGGTATTGCCTGGCCTTCTGATACATAGACAATTTCAGAAAACATAAGCAAGGTTATTAGTTTCAGGAGCTATTTTGATGCATGGTGATATCAATAGTTAGGTTGACATTAAAGCTATGGGTATGGAATATTGAATAGAACATTAAAATTGACACATACACTCATTCACACTCATATTCACTCCGTTCACTAAACCATAGATAGGTTGAATATATGACATGAAAACAAATGTAAAGAAGCAAGAACAATATCTATTTATATACAGTAAATCAAAACCTGAACTACTGAATAGATATATCCCAGTTACTTTGTACATGGTAAGATGTCCACTTGATATAGAACTTAGATTCTTATCTAAAGTAATATTTCTTTCAATGTGATTTTAATGAAGGTAGTTTCCAAATATTAATACAAGTCTAATTGTTTCCAGATTCCCACCCAAGCCAGCCACCCAAGCAAGCTTATGTGATAGCTGAATCGTCCATGTATGCCAGTCCCCAGCAGCATGATTGAACACCACAATACTGTGGTGATGCAGGAAGGTTATGACAGTCTCCTAGTCAACTCATTAGCAAGTCAATATTAAATATTTATTTTATAACACAACGCAAGGTCTCCACAAATATTTGCTTCCGTGCGGTCATTTTAGAAGACAGTGTTCTCTGGATTTGACAGCCAGCTATGTTACAGATCCAAGGAGAACTTATTGTTCAGTGTCATCCCTGTCATTGGATTAGCATAAAGTTTTGCTGTTTGATATTATAAACATGTTTAGATTCATGTTAATTTATTCTTACTTGTAGAAGTGTTAACTTTTGCAGCTGGTCTCACTGCTTAACCTGTTCAATTTGAAATTAAGCACAAATATAAAAAGTAGTGCCGTTTACCTTATTGTCACTGAGGAGAGGACGATACTGCTGAGCAAACTTGAGGAAAAGTTGATGTGATCAGTATGCCATGATCAGAGTCCATTTCAATTACAAAAGTGACTGGTTGAGTTTACTGTGTATGTGTATTTGTTGAGCATCACATTGACTGTCAAGGTCCGGGTTAGAATATTGATCTTCATTACCCATGCTTGTCGTAAGAGGTGACTAACGGTATCAGGTGGTCAGGCTCGCTGACTTGATTGACACATGTCATCGGTTCCCAATTGCGCAGATCGATGATCATGCTGTTGATCACTGGATTTTCTGGTCCAGACTTGATTATTTACAGAAATATATCCGCCATATAGCTGGAATATTGCTGAGTGCGGCGTAAAGCTAAACTCACTCACTCACATTGACTGTCCCACTGGCAAACATTTCACCGTGGCTAATATCAACTGCATAGATAATGCAGATCCACAGGTGCAAGTGTCAATTGTCTGAAGTTGCCAGTGTTTGCCCTAGGCATATAAATTGAGGAGTCATCATGACTCCCTTGTGTCATGAGAGGGAGTCATGGACATATTTTTGGGAGTTAACTTCAGTTTGGAACTTTCATCAAGACATCAACTGTGATTGTTTTATAACGACAAAAAACAAGGTAAGGCAGGTCAGGTATCTATCAGCACTGAGCGGTTAACTGGCAAACTAAAACGGAAAACGAAGTTTCGGTTATCTGAACTAAGGGCCCAGTAGCATTGTGTCAACAATGATGGAAGCTTCAAAATTCACTGCGTATTTGATAGAGGTGTGACGATACAGAAATATCACGATACGATACGTATTGCGATATCTTGGAACGATACGATTCGATTCGGTGCATATCACGATATGCTATCTTTAGTTATTTTCTTTCAAAATGTATATTTTGATAGGAAGTAACTGTAAATTGTGACATAACCGCCAATTTCTGGTGAAAATTAATAATTTTAAGGTCAACGATACGTATCACGATACGAAAAAAAGTATCAATATATTTATCGTCAGATAAAGTATCACGATTATCGATACTACGATATATCGTCACAGCGCTAGTATTTGAGATTATTTGTGCTTCAAATACGCAGGTTTTCTGCGTCATGGCAAACACTGAGTTTCTTTAGTAGTAAGTCCTCATCCTCGGCGGACATGACAATAGACAACTTGGAGATTGTGTCTTATATGAGATTCCTCATATACGTAGAAGGAGTCTCGGAGAATGATGCCTTGCAGTTAGGTTTCTAGCTTTTATGTTAATAGATACCAGAAGTAGGGTTAGTTTTGTTTGGTATATTACTTTATGGTTATTCACTAGTTGGTGTGTGTTTATTCTGTAATTGTTGATAAAACTACAATGAGCTGACATATGATTTTATGTATGTCCAGCAAGGTGACATAATATTACATTGATAAACGTTGTGATAGATTATTTGTGTTGTTATAAGGCTTTAGATGTGAGGTCTCCTTGTAACCCTGAAACTGGAAGGTGATTCTTTCATTTGAACATATTATGCAAACAATAACATGCATATCATAGTGAACCTCGAATTATAGTTTTCACTGATATGTGTTTTGGGAGAGTTAGTGTTTCACGAAACTCAATGTGACTTGTTGTGCCATGTGTTAAGATTGTTTGTAATTGCCAAAACAGAACTGACAATATATGTTACACAACTATTCTGAGGGCATGGTATCACTTTGTGTGGCGTGGTGTTTACCTTTTAGAACATGTCAGTGTAGCTTTTCAGAGGAAGAAATAGAAAGAATGCCTGTGCCACATTGAAGCAATATTTTCACGGACATGCATTTAATGGATAAGGGGAGCAAACCCATGCATTTGATATTTTTATTTGTTTCATGTCACATATAAATTGTTTTTTGTTAGTGTACTTGCCCAACCATACTGACCATTACATTGCCCAAAATATACATATATTTTTTGCATAACACTGGCATTGCTGTTGATGTTGTATGACCATATAAGGTAGCCGTGTTGAATTTTTCTGGAATTATTTTGAATTTTTCAAAAGAGATCTAATTGATTGTGTTATGTATTTGTTGTATGTAAGTTAATGTAATATTGAAGTGCTCTATTTTTTATATGTTGTTGAATTTGATATGTACTGTTTATTATGTTTTTTCATGCTTGAAAATTAATTTTACCATGTCTTGTCTTTGGCAGTAATCAATGTTAAGTCTCAGCTAACACAGATAAATGATCACAGTAAGACTTTTCAGAATATGCATACGTTTACAGTCAACAGTCTTTGGTTCTGTTGTGCATGCATACAGTGTTCACGAATTGTGTTTCAAGGTAACAGGACATTAGGTCCTGCAAGTTTCAGATGTCTGTCTGACCCACTGAAAATTCACAGGACCCATAGAATAATATTACACATACATTTCAGATTTAACATTTCTTATAACTGGCACTGAAATTATTAACAAACACAAGATATATAAACAGCAAACAAGTGTCACATGTCAGATATAACAACTTAGTCATTGTGAAATATACAGTCAGACACTGGGGCTGGTGGGTTGTAGACTTCTATCTGACCGTTGGCAAATCTGCCGGATTTGTCAGAGGGTCAGACACTATTCGTGAACACTGCATGCATATTGCAAAATCATCAGGGTTTGTTGGAATAGGTTATGCATTTGAACAACTGCTTGAAATGTTTGTATGGTAAACAGGGTGTGTTGTAGTAAGCAATGAAGGACTGAAAGGGGCCTATTCATATCCCAAATGTTAAGAAAGTAATATTTAAGGGTCCATTGATTCTTATAAGAGTAAACCTCAGTGATACCCCCAAGTCCTTAACTTCATCACTGGAACAGTAGACATAAGCAGATATTGATGTACTTACACCATAATTCTGTCCATTGACTTACCAGGTGGTCATCAACAATTTTTATGAATACACAATGGCATTTAGAAAGTGGTCAAATGTAACATGTTATATTTGAGATTACACTTTCTCAGTAAAGTACAGATTGTGAGTTGAGTCCCATCCGGGGTTTGAACCAACACCCTTACTTGCCAAATACTAAGATGCATTTTGTTCAATACTTGTTTCATAAACCACCTACATCTGATATTGCATCAGCCTTGAGGTATAATCAGATTTCTTTTTAAAAATTGTTTAAAAATTGTAAATGTGTTTACAGATCTCTATTAAGTGTTCATTGTTTTAGCAGGATCTTGATGAAGGTAACTTTTTTTTATTATATGATGTCTTTTTTTCACAAGCTGTGAGGAAATATGTAAATACTCTTTGGTTAAAAACATTGATTAGGTTTAGAAAGTTACATGACAAACCCCTCACAAACTTGAGTTAAAAAATGACCAATATACAATGTATGTGAGTTTTATTATGAGCTGGTGCTGATTACTTCTGGTCTTGTCATTTATTTGAGGAAATGAAAGATTTTGTGGGTAAACAGTATGTTGAATGGAGATATGATATGATGTATCAAGGATGACCCTTCTGTTGTTATGTATTGTTCTTTCCATTCACATTAGAATAATTTTGCTATGATTATAGCACCTCTGTCTCATATATTACATCATATTTGGATTGACAGTGCTACGACTTCATGCTTGTTAAAGAGCATGATGTTTTAACAATTTGCCATCAACAGTTTTGTGCTTTCATACATGTTTAACTGTTGCCTTTCGTAGTGATAAGTTTCAGGAGTTCTTTCAAACATTTGTGCATTTGAACTTATTGAAACATTTTTTGGTTCTGTGAATACTAGTAAGTATTAGGAAAACAAACCCTTGTTTTGAATAATTGTTCTTTGATTTTGCAGTGTCAAAATGTTACAATTTCTTTCCTTATTGTTAGATTTGGTTACCAGATGATGTTTTATAAGAGTAGTTGTTTTAGTATACTCTCATTTACCTCAGAACCTGTTATCTTAAAAATATGATTATCAATAGGTGGTGGTCCCTGCATATTATGAAACTTTTTCAGTGTCATGTTGAAACAAATTTCTTTTGTTTATGACCACAAGTGTCTTGAACAGTTTGTCATTTTGGTCTGTATAATTCTATTTTCTTGAAGATTGTGATATTATTTTTAAAAAAGATCTTGTTTATCCTATAAGATGCATGTGAGTCCCTGTATACTGAAACATGTCCCCAAATGAATCATCAGATTTGAGATAATCTGAGACAGGAAACAGGAATGCACTGCATACCATCCTCTCTCCCCCAACCCCCAAAATGGTAGGAGATAGTAATCTCATGCTTGTGTGTAGACGTGTTCAATTGTTTTATCATGTTTGTTGTCTGCTAGTACATATCAAATGCTCTTTTAGATTCAGTATTTAAGGTTTTGTTTTAGCACTTTTCATTTCAGTTTTTAGGTACAAAATATGCACCATTGTTTTAGTTATCTACCATGTGTGCTTGTTCGTGGTTGTCTTAGGTTTTATGTTGTGGTGCGGAGTACTTGATCAGGGAAATTAAAATTGAGTGAAATAAGTAATATATTACTCTCAGATCTATTGAGCTGTATGATATTGTGTATCAATCTGCCCTATGTTGGTCATTGTTTCATTTTCTACTAGCTTGTGCTACAAAGACACTAGTATGGTCCCACTTGCCAGTATATGATTGTACATTTTTGCAATTAATTAAAATCAGTTTTCTCTCCTTGACTATTTGTTGTTCTTTACCAAGGTATGTTTGACTTTCACAGCAAGAGTTTCACCAGACACTGCAAATACAAAGTGATTTTTAAATGCAAATTTACAATAGACACGAGTATTGTACATTGTAATTCTGACAAAGACTGGCATATCTGACATCTGTTTCTCAAAAACAATTTTCAATTTTTTCTAATTTTAAAAGGCGACTATGCTTGTTGTAAGAGGTGACTAAAGGGATCGGGTGGTCTGGCTCGCTGACTTGGTTGCCACATGTCATCGGTTCCCAATTGCGCAGATCGATGTTCATGCTGTTGATCACTGGCTTGTCAGGTCCAGACTCGATTATATACAGACCGTCATATAGCTGGAATATTGCTGAGTGCGGCGTAAAACTAAACTCACTCACTCACTCTAATTTTAAAATATACCAGCTGCACGAGGCTATTTTCTGACCACCATGGCATCTATGTGCATTTGGAAGTACCATCCAATCAAATTGGTAACTAAATTAGGTGGAATCCTTTTAGAGTTCA